TGTTTCCTGAGCAGCTAGAAGAAGGGAACTGCAATTTACTGAAATGAGAAGGAGCAGATTTTAAAGGGAAATCAGAAGTCTGGTTTTGGACATGGTACATTTGAGATCTGATTAGGCATCCACGTGGACATGCCAAGTAGGTAACTGGTGTTGACAGTCTGGAGCTCAGGAAACCAGGTTAGGTATAAATCAAGCCTCTGGTGGAGAAGCCTCAGTTTATTCTGTTCGTCTCATCTGCTCTAAATATATGGCCGAGAAGTCTTCAGTATCCCAGGAATCTGCTGAGCATCTGAGGCATGCTTTGAACCAGGGATGGCCTGCACCATGGAATAACTCTAATCAGTCCTCACATGTAACTGGTTATTCATTTATTAACAAGTGCTTATTAGGTCCCTGCTACAGGCCAGGTGTGGTGGCTCATAACTGTAACCCCAACACTTTGGGAGGCCGAGGTGGGAGGATCACTTGAGCCCAGGAGTTCAAGACTAGCCTGGGCAACATAGTGATAGTGTCTCTACAAAATTTTGTCTAAAAACTTAGCTGGGTGTGCTGGCATGTGCTTGTAGTCCCAGTTCCCCAGAGGCTGAGGCGGGAGGATCGCTTGAGCCCAGGATTTGGAGACTAAAGTGAGCCATGATGGTGCCCACTGCACTCCAGGCACAGTGACAGAGTGAAACCCTGTTTTACACTCACAGAAAAGTGCCTATTACATGCCAGCCACTGAACTAGCTATTGGGTATACGATGGAAAACAAGACATACTTCCTGCACTGACAAAATATTTAGTCTTTTGGGGCATTAGGACAAGAAAATGGAGATTTCAGTGCAATGAGTCACTGTGCTTTGGACAAATGGGAGGGCTGCCTAGTTCCAGACTCGGAGGCCTGTGAAAGCATTTCAGAGAAAATGCTATCTAGGTTGACCCCTGAAGGATGAGCAGAGCTCACCAAGTAAAGAGGTGAGAGGGTAGGGTAGAGTGTTCTAGGCAGAGGAAACAGTGTGTAACAGGCAGAGAAAGTCTGTTCAGGCAAAGAACAGAAGATCAGTTGGACGTCTGGAGTGCCACATGAGGGGTAGAGGGAGAGGGGCAGGGAGAGCCTTGAGGTGTCACTGGAAGGCACACCATGAAGGACCTTAATGTGCAATGTTGGGAATTTATTATCAAAGCCATTGGGAGCTTTTGAGGAGTTTTAAGCAGAGGCAAGAGGTTGGGGTAATAGAGCGGGTTGGAGGGAGGCATGCCTGGGAGCACTGCATGGGGGTTGGGAGGGTCACAATCTCAGACTCACTGCTCTCAAATAGCACCTATGAGTCCATAGCGTATGAGGCAGGGAAGGGAGGTCTGGCCTGGGTCTGCTGTGCTTAATCTCAGCTAATGGGAGACACTCTCCAAAGATCTAATTGCTTAATGGAAATGAGGTAGAAGTTAGCCACATTTTTCTTTTCTTTTTCTTTCTTTCTTTTTTTTTTTTTTTTTTTTGTTAGAGACAGGGTCAGCTGGATGCGGTGGCTCATGCCTGTAATCCCAGTGCTTTGGGAGGTGGGTGGATCACCTGAAGTCAGGAGTTCAAGACCAGCCTGGCCAACATGGTGAAAACCCATCTCTACTAAAAATATAAAAATTAGCCGGGCGTGGTGGCATGTGGCTGTAGTCCCAGCTACTCAGGAGGCTGAGGCAGGAGAATGGCCTGAACCTGGGAGGTGGAGGTTGCAGTTAGCTGAGATTGTACCACTGCACTCCAGCTTGGGTGACAAGAACGAGACTCCATCGAGAGAGAGAGAGAGAGAGAGAGAGAGAGAGACTCATTCTATCACCCAGGCTAGAGTGCAGTGGTTTCAGTCATAGCCCATGGCGGCCTCCAACTCCTGGGCTCAGGCGATCCTTCCACCTCGGCCTCCAGAGTAGCTGGGAGTAGAGGCATGCACCACCATGCGTAGCGAATTTTTAATTTTTCTGTAGGGACAGGGTCTCCCTATGTTTCCCAGGCTGGAACTGAACTCCTGGCCTCAAGTGATCCTACTGCCTCAACCTCCCACAGTGCTGGGATTACAGGCATGAGCCATACATCTGGCCTGCCTACATTTTAATAGGGGGCCAGAGTGAGAAAGTAGGGTGAAGTGCAGTTCTAAGAGAGGACAGCCCCCCAGGAAGGGCAAGCCTTAGTCACTTACAGGGGAAAGGGGAAGAAGCGGGAATGAGACTGGAAAGCAAAAAGTGATTGTCTTTGTAAGTACGTCTTGTGTTGTGTACTGTGCATGTTGTGCAGTGTATATTCAGGTCAGGGCCTGGATTCTGCGTGAAGGTGCTGAGTGCTGTGTGTGTGTGTGTGTGTGTGTGTGTGTTGGCAATGGTTGTTAGTATTGGGATGACTTCTCTGCATCTGTGTTAATGTGCAAAACTCTGGAATGTATATTGTGCAAGTACCTACCGGCAGCAAAGAGATATGCATCCAATTTATGCAGAGAGAGCATATGTCCTTGGAAGGCCTGTGGTATCAATCACAACAAGTTCTCAAACCGAACAATTCTATTGAAATGTAGAGACTATTCTGGCTCACTTTGTACACAACAGGCACTCATGTATTTGTCAAACGAATGAGTGTTTTGGTTTTATTAAAGTGCAATCACTTAAATAAATATACAGGTTTGGTTAAAAGCTTAAACTAGATGTTTTAGGAAGAATAAATTGGCTGGGCACAGTGGCTCGTGTCTGTAGTCCCAGCACTTTGGGAGGCTGAGGCCAGGGGATTGCTTGAACCCAGCTTGAACTACTGGACAACATACCTGTAGTGAGACCCTGTCTCTCAAAAAATAAAGAAGTTAGCTGGGCATGGTGGAGCACGCTCATAGTCCCACCTACTTAGGAGGCTGACGTAGGAGGATCGTTTAAGCCCAGGACATTGAGGCTGTAGTGATATGTAATTCCCCACTGCACTCAAAACCAAACAAACAAAAACTAAAGAATAAATTCATAACCAGGCACCAACATCCATTGATGAATCCTAGCACTTTAAATCCTGTTATGGGGTTTATATACTAGTCCTACCTCATGTAAGAAACTTTCACTGTTTCATTTCACTCAATAAACATTTCCTGAACACCTTAGTCCCAAAGGCAAGCCCTGGGCTGTTGCTGCCTGCCTCATTTCCCTTTCCTCTGAGCCACTTTTCTCTGGGTGTTGCAATTAGAGCTTAATTATATGTTATCTTGTATTGTTCCTTAATTGTTGCATGTGCATTAATCCACTTCCACAAGGCTGTATAATCCTCGGGGGCAGGGACTGTGTTATAAACTTCAGGATAGGTGAGGAATTTAGCAGAGAGGTAAATATATAGAAGTAAGTAAACATCCACTGTTTGAAGAAAAATGGAAACAAGAACATAAAACTATTCATGAACTGTAGTAACATGTAACATACAAAATTACCTTAAAAACAAGAGGATACATTGTTACTACATTGTTATATTGTTAACTAACTAAACTATTACCTCCCCACCCCACTGTTTTTTTGTAGAGAAGAGATCTTGCTGTTGCCCAGGCTGGTTTCAACTCCTGGCCTCCAGTGAACCTCCCACATCGGCCTTCCAAAATGATAGGATTATAGGCATGAGCCACCTTGCACAGCCTAAATATTCCTTGAATAATTAAATATAAAATTTCAATCTGAGCGGGGAGCGGTGGTTTACGCCTGGAATCCCAGCACTTTGGGAGGCGGAGGCGGGTGGATCGTCTGAGGTTGGGAGTTCGAGACCAGCCTGGCCAGCATGGTGAAACCCCATCTGTACTAAAAATACAAAAGTTGGCCGGGTTTGGTGGCAGGAGCCTGTAATCCTAGCTACTTGGGAAGCTGAGGCAGGAGAATTGCCTGAACCTGAAAGGCAGAGGTTGCAGTGAGCCGAGATCGTGCCATTGCACTCCAGCCTGG